AAGAAAGCTCAAAGAGACAGGAATAACACAATGGGACAGGCAAAGGTAAAGCTGAGTAATAAATCATCAACAATAGAATAGAAAAGGGGAGATGTTAGGTGTGGAAAAGAAAACAGGAGAAAAGTTAGATAACAAATTACACAGATTAACATAGAAGTACAAATGAGTATCGTAGGCATTACATGTCATCAACATAGATCATCAAAATCAATAAATGCGAAAGAGATTAATTTAAGCAAAAGTCGGATACACAATCAGCAAATAGGAAAATTTATAGAGCAGAGGAAAAGTAGGACGTTTACCTATAGAAATCAGCCACGGCATAGACCGCTTTCTGGACAAATCAATGAGCTGGTAAAAGGAAGAAAATACTCAAAGAAGATTAGAGAATCATCAGTAAGAGGAAAAAAAATCGAAAACAAAAAATAGCAATAGATATTAAGCAATTAAAAAACATTGATAGACCAACCATAACAAAAAAAAAAATCATCAACAGCGAGAAAATGCCCGCTCTCCATCTTTTCTGTTTTTTTTTTCTTAGAAGGGAAAAAAATTGCAAGAAACCCAAAATATGTACTACTGTAACAACACCGGGAAAAACCAAGCAAAATCTTAAATCAAAACAACAAAAAAGCAACAAAAGTAGATCAACAAAAGAAGAAGAAGAAGAAAAAGAAGAAGGGAAAGGGAAAAAAAAAAAAAAAAGCGATGGCAATTTAAGAAAAAAATACAAAGTATATACACCGACAAAATCGCATAAAAATCCCAACCAAAATTCGTAATAACAAACCTCCACCGAAAACATCTGAAAGAAGCTTAAAATTCTGAAGATCTGCAGAGAAAGATGAGAAACAAAAGCTTCACAGAAAGGATGAGAGAGAGAAAAAAAGAAACCCAAAAAATTGTGCAGAAGAAATGAAGCTAGAAGCTTCGAAGAATAGCAAAAGAAACCCAAAATATGTACTACTGTAACAACACCGAAAAAAACTAAGCAAAATCTTAAATGAAAACAACAAAAAAGCAACAAAAGTAGATCAACAAAAGAAGAAGAAGAAGAAATAGATGAAGGAAACGGGGAAAAAAAGCGATGGCAATTTAAAAAAAAAATACAGAGTATATACACCGACAAAATCGCATAAATATCCCAACCAAAATTCGTAATAACAAACCTCCACCGGAAACAGCTGAAAGAAGCTTAAAACTATGAAGATCTGCAGAGAGAGATGAGGAAGAAACTTCACGGAAAGGATGAGAGAGAGAAGAAAAGAAACCCAAAAAATTGTGCAGAAGAAATGAAGCTGGAAGCTTCGAAGAATAGCAAAATACTATTCTGAAATCAAATTACGAAAATATCCAAATAAAAAACAAAACAAAAACAAACAATCAAGGATAAAACGGTAAATACACAATTTAAGGACACGGACGGAATTTTTCTAAATAAGAAAATTACGAAAATACCCAAATAAAAAACAAAACAAAAATAAGCAACCGAGGCTAAAACGGTAAAAACACAAAATTAGGACACATCCGGGATTTTTTCAAAGAAGAGGGATAAAAAGGACCGACACTGTACTTAGAAGAGTAACCGGGTGCCTCCTTTAGTAATAGGTATAATATAATTTCTATTTAGTTGGTATAAAAATTATCATGTAACACTCATTTATTTATATATTCTTTTAATGTTTATTCTTTAAAATATATATATTCTTAATATATATATATATGATTGTGTTCATAATATTTCTACCCATATTTGTTGATTTTATTTTTAAATTCCCCAAATTATTTAGAGTGCCAATATTTCTAATTATGAGATACTTTTTATCCTTTGCATGCATGTCATATGGCCTGCATTTGAAGGGTGTTATTATAAAGTAAAAAGAGAGATAAATTTGATGAGCAAAGAAAGATAATGGAGAGGGATGCCCCAAAAAAAATGAAAAAAATGAGGGCATTTCATGTTGAAAATATATCAATTGTTTCTCCACTTTAATGGTTCATATTAATCCACGCGGTTTATGCCTTCTTTCAAACCTCACACCTATTTTTTTACACCTCATATCTCTATAATGTCACTTGAAATTACAAATCCTTTTTATTTGATAAGCTCCTCTTTTTTGTGTCCCTTTTTTTTTGTGTTTAACAATTTAACAAATTATGATTTCGTTTAAAAACTAAAAACCTAAAGCGTGAAAGTGCTATAGGTAGGATCCCATTCTAGTAAGGAAAGAAACAAGAACAAAACATTAATAACCCAAAACTTACATAGAAGTGGTTATGGCTGCTGAAAAAGTGTAGGAAAAAACCCACAAATACCACTCAACATCGTAAAAAAAATATTAGTTATATCACTTTATTTAAAAATAACCAATTGTCATTTAAATAAAGTAAAAATTGTTAAACATACCATTAGAGTGTATGGATCCTGCATTTTAATCTCTTGCTTACTCTTTTGATTAATATAGCTATTTAACTAAAAAAGATATTAATCAACAGTAAATGATAAAAATACACTCATGCATTCTAAAAAGTATTTGTCTAATTTCCTCTTCAATTAATAAAGAGAAAATAAAAGAATATAATAACACTCAATTATTTAGACCTTCACAAAACCATAATAAACCATGTATTTTTAAAAAAAAAAAATACTAAATAACATATTTTGTAACTATATTTGAAGTATATAACTTTTTAAAAAAAATACTAAATAACATATTTTGTAACTATATTTGAAGTATATAACGTATTTTCTAAGTGGTAGTAAGTTATAGCATATTCTAATTTTACTTTTAAAATATATATTTTTATTTCAAATTTGGCCATTTTTCAGATCTAATCTCAAATAAAAAACCCTAATCAAAATCTCTCTCCCTCTCTCTGCCATATGAGCTTGGTTCTCCCATGGCCGAAGAAGACGAGCAACCGTTGGCAATGACGATGAAAGGGTGACGCACCAAAAATAGTCCGGCACGCTGTCCATAGCAATCTCCTTCGTCGCAATCCGATCTCATTCTCCTCATGATCCCTTCCGTCATGAATCTTGAATTGCGATCAACTTCTCCTTGTGATCCCCTCTTTAGCGAATCACGATCTCCTTCTCCTTGCGACCCCCTTCGTCACGATCTTCTCATTCCGCTGTCGTTTAAGATCGCAGTTTTGACAACCATTCACGAGTAAGAATAACACTGTTGCCAGAGAATAAGACCGTTCGCGAACCAAATCACGACCTCAGAGTGGGCACCGGAGTGTCGTCGTTGTGCCTGGCGCAAAGTTCTCAAATCCCATCATGTACGGCAGCGAATGTATCTGATAGAATTTGGTTTTTTTTTACAGTGAGTGATGATTTTTTTTCGGATTGTTGTTGAGTCTTGCTGAGTTATTTTAGCCTCGTTTGAGTTTTCAATTCTAGCTAAGATGTGATTTTATGTGAGTTTTTTACTGTAACAGAAAAATTTAAATGTGACTTTTTATGAGAGTTTTTAACTGTAGTAAAATTAGAATTAAAAACTCGAATTTGTGAAATGAATGATGCCTTTGTTTTTTAGATTTAGAGGTTTGATTTGTTTTTTCTGTCAAAGAAATGATGTTCACTTTCTAATTTGAAGTTTTTTTCTCTTTAAGAAATGATTATTTTTGACCGAGGATAATGGCAGATTTATTGCCAGCGGCCGAATTTATTGGTAAATATGATATTTATCGGTCACTACTGTAGGGTAAATATTGTATTTACCAGTTAATCTAGGATTTTATTAGTCGTTGGTATTCCAGATTTTCAGATAAATACAGTATTTACCACATGTCGGATCCATAATTCACATTAATTTTTTGTTTTAATTTATTTTTTAAATACGGCATTACAAATTGTCAACTTTAACAGCCAAATTTTTAGGTAAATACGATATTTATCGGTAGCCGACACTGGTGATTGAAGTTCCCAGTAAAATACGATATTTTAAAGTAAATATTGAATTTATCGGTCGCTGGCGACTGACTTTGATGATTGATTTTTTGAGAAATACATTATTTACAGGTAAATATCGTATTTACCGGTCACTGGTGCTGATGGTCGAATTGCCGAGTAAAATATGGTGTTTTCTAGTAAATACAATATTTTTAGGTAAATTTGATATTTTCTAGTAAATACGGCAATTACCGATCGTGGGTTTTGACGACCGAATTTCTGGGTAATTAAGATAAATATAGGTAAATACGATATTTTCAAGTTAAATGTTGTGTTACTAAGTAAATATGGTATTTAACGATCGTCGATACCAGCAGTTAGATTTTAAATAAATGTGGTATTTATGAGTAAATACGATATTTATTATTAAATACGGTATTTACCGATCGCTGGCGCCCGCAACCAGATTTTTAAGTAAATATGGTTTTTACTGATAAATATAATATATTTGAGTAAATACGATATTTACAGGTAAATACAATATTTTCATATAAATACAATATTTTCATATAAATACAATATGTTTTTTGGTAAACATGACATTTACCAGTAAAAATAGTGGTCGGCGCCAGTCGCTGCTCTTTTCTAATAAATATGGTATTTACTAATAAATATGATATTTACTGATAAATACGGCTGTTAGCGACGGCCATCGGTCCACGTTCACAGGCGACGACAGTCAGTCACTGTCGAGATCGACCATGGTTGACAAGAGGGGGAGGAAGAGAGAGGTGAGAATGAGAGGGTTTAGGGGCATTTTTTTAATAATATTAGAAATTTAAGATATCAAATTATGTTATTTACTACCAATTTTTAAAAAAATTATATGCTCTAATTTACTAAACACCCTACTAAATATGTCATTTCCTACTAAATATGTCATTTCTCTCATTTTCCCTTGTCAAGAAGCATGACGAAACGGGGCCTTAATAATCTCACTTTTAGCAAAGAAGGAGCCTGAAAGTTGACCTAGCCGCTTAGTAAGCCAAACTTAGGTCAGGGCCGTTAACTGTAATATTATGGGCCGGACCTCATCTACAACAAAGATCCGTACTTCTAGCTAAAGCAAATTTCTGGTAGCCAGAAACGACAAGAAAGAGGGAGAGAGGGAAAAGAAAGGGCGCGAAGGGAAAATCCAAACAAGAATTAAAGGATGCTTCAAGCGGGAAGGCTTCTAAGGCAATGGCCGATGGCGGTTCATCACCATTACTGCTTTTCTGTTGCATTTCATCATCTCCCTCGGTCGCCGTCGCTTCCGCTGACCACGAAAACCACTGTCCATCGCTTCTCATCGACCAGAGTGCATTACGCCCAACGCAATGTCACTTACCGGTCACGCGGACTCCGATTGCGGAACTCGCCGACACCGTCCGATCTTCAAGACGAGAACAGCAGCGACTCGGAATCCGACGGCAATAAGAGGAGCCGCAACCAGTTGAAGCGCGAGGCTCGCCGCGCCGTCCGTTGGGGCATGGACCTCGCGTCCTTCTCGACTCCTCAAATCATGCGCATTCTCAGGTGTGAACTAATTGAGTTTCTAATGAAAAATTTCTTGTAATATGATGTATAAATTCCGTAAGATTCGGTTTCCATGGCGTCGGTTTTGATGTCTAATGATGTTTTGTTGAATTTTACTTTGATCGAAATTGCAGTGTGGCTTCTCTTGAAAAAGAGGTGTTAGATGCGCTAAATCTAGTGAAGGTGCCACTCTATATATTCTTTTGGTTAGTTTTGATGGTTGTTAAACAATTTGAAAAGTTTTGGTGGAAGTTTGAATGTTTGAAGTTAAGGTGTTTGTTGTTTTGCCGCAGAAATTAGGCCCCGATGTCCGAGAAGGAAAGCGAAGGCAGTTCAATTATATTGGTATTTAATTTCATTTCCGGTTTTTGATTTTGGATAGAGAATTATACAACAACATTCATTTTCAGAAAACTGAAAATAGGAAAGAATTCAGTAAATTTGGAAAGTTAGAACTCTTATTATGTTCACGGTCTTATGTCCACTTTATCAGAAACGGATCAGTTACTGAGAAAAGATGGATATAAGCCTAGATTAACTGCGATTTTGAGGTCTCCAATTTTCTTGCAAAATTCACGATCCTAAGATATTTTGATGCAGTAGACTTGCATGTACCTGAAACGTATTTGAACGTTCTCTTCTATTTTTATTATTTCATATTTTATCTTATTATTCGATTTTAATTGATGATTTTTCTTGAGTTTTTGAGCCATCATATCAAATTGTATGCTCTTTTGAATATATCTTGCTTGCTCTTAATCCAGTAAATGTTTTTAGGAAAACTATTGCGTGATGTGGAACCGGAGTTGATGGATACATTAATTCGGGCTACAAAAGATGGCGACCACAGTAAGCTGCAGGCTTTATCTGGTTCAAAGACAATAACATTTGGAGATAGTGATGAAGAATACGATGAATCTGATAGTGAGGATGAAGAGGAGGCATGCTCTATTTTCTCTCCTTTGCTGACTGGGTAGCCAAAAAGAGACGTTTTCATCTGATTTTTTTAGCGTTGTTGACAGGGCTCTCACATTGATATCGCGACCAGATGGTTGGATGGTTTAATCAGTAAGGACATGGAGATCACAAATGAGGTTTATTCCGTTTGTGATGTCGAGTTTGATCGTCAGGTTAGTAGACTGGTACCACACAACTTTGGTTACAATATGATTTAAGTACCTTCTTCGTCAATATCTCGGTAAACAGAAGCTAATGGAATATGCTGTTGGCATTTTTTATAGATATTATGCCTGTTTTAGGAACTTTCTCCAAGGACCATGTGTTTGCACTTGAACATTTTTCTTTTTAGTGGACCATCTTTTCAACTGATTTATACGAAAGATAAATTGTTGGGTTTCCTGCTCTTTATTACTTACGTTAGCATCTCTTGGCAGGAGTTGCGTAAACTTGTTAGAAGAGTTCACTCAGCTGAAGAGAAACACGAGAACGCTGTTGAGGAAAATAAGGTAGAAATAGATGCAGCAATTGTGGGCGCCACGAAGTCTCTAACCCGTTTCCTCCGTGCAATGGCAAAGCAAATGCCCAGTGCCTAATGCGTGAATCTGAATGGGTATTCTTTGTGACACTAACGGCATGTTTACTTACGTATAATCGGAATGACCATGTAGTGGATAGATTTCGGAGTAAAGAATCAGACTTAAAATAAGTTGTTTACTTGGTGATAAATTTCGGAATCAGAGTCACTATAAATCTCATTCATACTTTTACTTATACTCATAATTAGAATGAACTGATGTAAAAGTACTAATATGCATTTTTAGTGAATTGTGTTTTCAATTTAAAAAATAAATTGTGTAGTCATTATATTAAAATAAATCATTATTAAAATATTTATCATAATAATAGGGTGATGAAATAATAAATATAAGTTGCATAATTATTTAAAAATATGAAAATAAGGTCTTGTACATTTCATGATTGTCATGACTCAAGTTATATTGTTATAATATTTTTTCTTACATAAATTCAAATTTAATTTTTTTGTTACAGTGTTTTTTTCTCGCATACACAACTCAACTCATGACTTAGTTATGCAAATGAACACACTCTAAATTGTCAATATTTTTTAAAAAATAAATAAAAATACAAATAAAATGTGTTAAAAATTAAAATGTATTATTAATTTTAATAAACATAATAAAGTACATATTTATTATAGTAAAGTTAACAATAAGTATGGTAATATCGTAATATTAGACAAATAAAATGATAAATATAGGTTGCAATTATAATTTTATTTTTCATTTTATATCTTATAAGCAAACTAGGGATAAGATAATAATTTGATGTTAATATTATGAATGAGAGTCTCAATTCATAAGGGGCGTGAGATTGTCAGTTCTATTACTCAATTCTAAATTTGAGTAGAGTCTACCAATTTCACTCTTATTTCAGGATAATGAAGAACAATTAAATATGAAATTGACTCTCATTCTCCACTCTCGTTTCTCAATTCTAATAAGTAAACATGTTATTAGGTTATTGTTCTTGTCCGTTCATCTGTTTCATTTAGATAAAGTATTTACTCCTTTATATAGCAAAATATATATATATATATATATTCATTATAGTCATATAATTTTTTCACTAATACACTCAAACTTGTTCTTAACAATCATATAATTACATGTTTACCTACGTATAATCGGAATGACCATATAGTTGATAGATTTCGGAGTGAAGAATCAGACTTAAAATAAGTTGTTTACTTGGTGATAAGTTTCGGAATCAGAGTCACTATAAATCTCATTCATATTTTTACTTATACTCATAATTAAAATGAACTGATGTAAAAGTACTAATATGCATTTTTAGTAAATTGTGTTTTCAATTTAAAAAATAAATTGTGTAGTCATTATATTAAAATAAATCATTATTAAAATATTTATCATAATAATAGGGTGATGAAATAATAAATATAAGTTGCATAATTATTTAAAAATATGAAAATAAGGTCTTGTACATTTCATGACTGTCATGACTCAAGTTATATTGTTATAATATTTTTTCTTACATAAATTCAAATTTAACTTTTTTGTTACAGTGTTTTTTTCTCGCATACACAACTCAACTCATGACTTAGTTATGCAAATGAACACACTCTAAATTGTCAATATTTTTTAAAAAATAAATAAAAATACAAATAAAATGTGTTAAAAATTAAAATGTATTATTAATTTTAATAAACATAATAAAGTACATATTTATTATAGTAAAGTTAACAATAAGTATGGTAATATCGTAATATTAGACAAATAAAATGATAAATATAGGTTGCAATTATAATTTTATTTTTCATTTTATATCTTATAAGCAAACTAGGGATAAGATAATAATTTGATGTTAATATTATGAATGAGAGTCTCAATTCAGAAGGGGCATGAGATTGCCAGTTCTATTACTCAATTCTAAATTTGAGTAGGGTCTACCAATTCCACTCTTATTTTAGGATAATGAAGAACAATTAAATATGAAATTGACTCTCATTCTCCACCCTCGTTTCTCAATTCTAATAAGTAAACATGTTATTAGGTTATTGTTCTTGTCCGTTCATCTGTTTCATTTAGATAAAGTATTTACTCCTTTATATAGCAAAATATATATATATATATATATTCATTATAGTCATATAATTTTTTCACTAATACACTCAAACTTGTTCTTAACAATCATATAATTATTCATTAATACACCCAAAACTTGTTCTTAACTATCATAGAGCATTTTTTTTCCTGCTGTGATGATGATGTTTGTATTTGGAATCAAATAGGGCCTTGAGGGCACAGCCTATTAAGTTGTAAAATCGCGGAGTTTCAGCTAGTACTCTGATATGTGCAGAGCTTCGGCCTTTCCATGTTGCAATATCCGGCTTAATCAGTAATCACAGTGATCCTCAGCTATTAGTTTGATTTTTTGTTCATTTAGTTGGTTTTGCCAAGAGATACTGGAGGGTACCAAACACTTCGTGGTCGTGTATAGCATAAGAGCGAAGCATGTACTAGATTTGTCCTATTAGTTTTGGGCCATAGTGACCTCAAAAGAGAGTGAAAAAAAAAGGGAAAGAAAAAAAAAACAGAGAGAGAGAGAGAAACGAAACACATCAATGCATTTTGATATTTTAATTT